GGAGAGGGGACGGTGAAGCTTGAAAAGCAAAGCAATAGAGAAGGCAAGCTTCATGGTGGGGCACTGATTCCACGGAAGGCCCTGTATCCAGCTGCCACTGAGGCCAGCCCCAGCCTCTGGACATTAACAAAGGGTCCCAAGTTGACTAGCTGTGTGACCCTGGGCAAGTAACTTAGCCACTGTCTCTAAGCGCCTCCACCCCTGGGGCCAGGAGCACTGGGCCTGAGTGCTCTGACGCGTGGCCATAGGCAGGGTCTGTGTGCTCACTGTGAGCACTGCTTCCTTTGAAGGCAGACCAAGCTGGGCTTTCTGTCATCATCACAGGCTGCTGATAAAGCTTTCACAACACTGAGAACATTAGAATAGAAAGACAGAAACAACGCTGTGATAAATTCTCGGATGATGGTTTTCATTTAATGGTGAAGGAAGATTAAGAACGTGGGGTTCTACGAATGACATAGTGAAAAGCTGTCCTATCTTCCTCAGACGACTCTTCCTACTCACGACAGATTACAGGGAACCTGGTGTTGACCATCAGCCCAGCACAAGCCCGAGGCAGGAAAAGTAAACTCCCACCTTTAAATTATGGCTTTACTACAGCTTCCCTTTGAGCCAATCGTAAGACTGTAAAATATTTTTTAATAATTTAACTCCAGTCTATTTTAAGAGTTAGAGATGTGATGCCCCAAGCTTCCCTGCACTCGCTTTCACCCTAGAGGGACTCCACTCAAACTTCAACTGTGAACTAACAATGAACTTCCCCCCACTTCTACAAACCACAAGTGCATTAAAAGACAATAAATCCATTCCACATAGTTTCTAAAGCCTGCCTTTGCAGTAGAGTGTTCTTACATTGTTCATTCAATAATTATTTGTTATGTATGAAAACAAAAACAGCAAAACTCTCTAATATAAAAGTAGGCACACGTTGGATCTGACAGACAGGAGTTTAAATCCCAACTCACTGCCGTGTGGCCTCAGGCAGATCACCTAACCTCTCTGAATGTGCACTGCTACACCAGTGGAGACAGAGAAAATACTACTTCCCTCCAAGGTGTGGTATGGAGGCCAAATAAGGCAGGCCTACATGAGAAATGTCCGGCACTGCCCTTGGCACACTGTGGTGTTCTCTACGTGACCGGGCTACTGATTTGAGAAGGTAAAGGCATTACAGGAGAATGGCCACTACGAAACGTAGCGGGATAACGGAGTTAGAAAAATCACTACTTTGCAACCATCAAAGTAACAGGTGATTCAGGTGGAATCATCTACGGGTGAGAAAACTGCCAGTCTCTCCAAACGGGTCACCTGATGATTACACAGAAAAGAGCATCCAGCTTCCCACGGGAGAAACCTGGCAGACGTCCCCAGACCAAAGCCAGCACTGCCACGATGCAACAGACGGACGTCGTGTGCATCTGCCATGACGCATGATGAAGAAGGAAACTTGGTGGCTTACGGGAGGTCACTGCCATAAACACGTAAGCTGTCTCTACACAGAAGCAAACATCAGGCAAACCCAGAGTTAAAGGATATTCTGCTAAGCAACTCTCCTGTTAGCTTGAAAAATGTGAATGTGGTGAGACACAAAGGAAAGCTATGAACTATTCCTGATTAGAGGAGTAAAGAGGCGCACAGTCTCAGCCTGGATCCTGGGTGGGGGCAAGTTACGATGAAGGGCATCACTGGGCAGCTGATACAAGGGGAAAACCGGCAGGATATCATGATGTGCCCGCATTAACCTCCCTGAGTCTTCTAACTGTATCCACGTGGCGAGGAGAAAGCCCAATCTTAAGAAACACACGCTGATTGGAAACCAATTTGACAATAAATTTCATATATAAAAAAAAAAAAAAAAAAAAGAAACACACGCTGATTTATTTAGGGTAAGAGTACCAAACGGAGGGGAGAGAAATAAAGCAAAAGCAGGAAAATATGATCAACGGGTGACTAAGAGTACACGAGAGTTCCCCGTCATGTTCTCATTATTCCCATGTTCAAAATTATTTCACAAGAAAGCAAACATTTTTCAAAAATGAGCATCTGATTTCTGCCCTCGAGGACCTTCTAATCTACCGGGAAAGAGAATACATTCTAATAACCAGAACGAAGAGATCGCCAGTGAAAACATCACGTTTGGAAGCAGACGGCGCGGTCTCATCAGGAGCGAGAAGGACCCGTGGGCAGTGGCGGCTGGGCCCGAGCCCGGGTCAGGACAGTGGTGTACATTTCCATCCGGAGACAACACCGGTGAGCTCCGGATGGCGTGAGCGGGCATTTTCCAGAGTCTGGCGGCCACGACCAAAAGAAGACACGAAGAGCAAAGAGAAAGAAGAACGTGTAGAAACAAGGGGACTGTGGCGCCCCCAGGGCACCCGCGGGTCGGGAGGTGCTGCTCGCTGGGGCCGCGCGGGAACCGCCGGTGCCACCGCTGCATTACGATCCTGCTCAAATCACAGGCTGGCGCTGAACTGCGCGTCCTTCCGGCTCAATCAAGACCTCGGTCTGATCAGCCTCACTTCCCACCCAATCATCCTGTGCAGCTGAGACCAAAGTCACGTGCAAAACCTTCCTGAGAACTCAAGAGCTCTTGGTGGGTGTGTTTTAACCAAGATTAGGAAAACTGAGGGATTAAACATGGCAGATAAGGCTAGAAGCTGCAGCAACGGCCTTAAAACTGGCCGTGTTCAAGTCAAGGTTAGACGTATTCACGAACTGAGGGTAAGATGGGAGGAAACAAACACCCAAAGGTGGAGTCATTTGGCCCCCCAAATGAGGAGCTGGGCCACCACACGTCTGACCCAGACATCAGGGACTACACCTGGCCAGGGAGCAGGGCTGTGAGCTGGCATCTGAATCACAGAAGGTGGGCAAGGCCCCCCCTTCCCCCACTCCCCTTTCTCCTACCAGGGAGACTGCCCTCGGCTCTGCACTTGGACTCCCTTTCGGGGGTACCGTGAGCGCATCCCCCGCCTTGAGTCATGAAAACTAACATCGGGTCTACCCGATCTCCTAGGTCCCCTGTTAAAAACAAGTATCATTTGCAACTTGACCTTCCCCATCAGCATGGCACTTGGCACTGGGCCGAGGGGAGGGGTATTTTAAAAGCCCCGATTTCCCTTGGATTCTCCTTGTAACTGCACACAGGTTCTGTTTTCACCAGTCCTCATCCTCCCGCTCCCTAAAGATGAAGCAGAACTCGGGAAGGTGGATCCGACAGTTGGGCACAGATAGGTGCCCTGCCCCGGCCCCCCAAGCCCTACTGAGAAAGGAACCAGAGGAATCACAAACACATCTCCTCAGAGAGGTGTTCAACTATAAGCTTGATCCCTGTGCTACAGCACGCTGGACATAAATACTTCGTGCTAATAAACTTATTAACGTTGACAAAATATTCTAGGTGGATACTGTTAGCACACAACCCTAAGAGTACATGATTTTTGAGTTAAGAGAAATATCGTCCTCATTTCCGGAAATGAGGGCACCTGGGTGGCTCAGTCGGTTAAGCTGCTGACTCGATTTCACCTCACGACCTCACAGTTTGTGAGTTCGAGCCCCATGCTGGGCTCTGCACTAACAGTGTGGAGCCTACTTGGGATTCTCTCTCTCCCTTTCTCTCTGTTCCTCCCACTTGTGTTCTCTCTCTCTCAAAATAAACAAACTTAAAAAATAATAATAATAATTCTTCCATGTTTGTAGAGTTAACATCTTATTTGCCTCTAAAAATATTTAAAAATTTTTTTTAATGTTTTATTTATTTTTTGAGACAGAGAGAGACAGAGCATGAGCAGGGGAGGGGCAGAGAGAGAGGGAGACACAGAATCCGAAGCAGGCTCCAGGCTCCGAGCTGTCAGCACAGAGCCCGACGTGGGGCTCGAACTCACAGACTGTGAGATCATGACCTGAGCCGAAGTCAGACATTTAACCGACTGAGCCACCTAGGTGTGCCTCTAAAAATATATTCTTTACATTTACTGGAAAGAGGATGGAAGACAGAGCCTTAGTAAGGAAATTACACAAAATACTGACTGCCAAAATGACACATTTCCTGATTCTTAGGTTCTAACTCAAACCCCTGAAAACGCCAACCTCATTCCCACCAGCCAGGGCAGCAAACAACCTGGCTGTGTCCAGCTGGAAGAAAACACGTCTGTAACAAGTGATGAGGGACCAATGTTAAAACACGCTGGCAACATTCTGCACTCATAGACAGGACCTGGAGGCTTCTCCGTGGTCTGGAAGGCAAAGCCAGCTTCTTCCGTCAATGAAACTTTGCCCCTGCTTTCAGTGTTAGTGGCGGTGGGTTTAAAAACCAGCAACAGAAACTGCCCACCAAACACTCCGGGTCACGTGAACGTGGTACATGGAGGTCACCCAGAGCCCGTGTGGTCCCCGGTGACGACCGTGTTGCCCTCTCGGTGGGCCTCACTCTCAGTACCTCCTCTGGGAGGGGGACCCTGAAGTCGGACTTACTCTTTGGAGAACCCGGATCTGCTTACTTTTCACCTGCAACTCAGCACCGAAGTCAAATGAACTGCGTGAGGGCCGACTTCCCGGGGGATCTACAACGACGTACCGTAAAGTCACAGCAGTTTAACATGAAAATGAAACCTTAACCTTCAGAGCGTTAAGAAGTGTAACAGACACAATGATGAAAAGGTCTCGTCCCGATGTGTGACGTTCCTGATGGCGGACACCAGCACCCGGCGCAGTGCGGCTCGCAGGCAGGGGGCCGTCAAGCCCTCACCGGGCCCTGACGAGAGCCGGGGGGCCTGAGCCAGAGTGCGATCGACGGGGAGAAAGGCCAAGAGCGGAGAAAAGCGCTGTGCTAAACAGTGTGCTGTGACCCAGAGCACCGATGCCCCCTGGCGGGTTCAACGTCTGCGGACCGCGGCAGTCCGCCAGCCTGCTCCAGAGCGTAAAAGCGCTCCCTGAAGGGAAAACACAAACCTGCAGACACAACCACGCATGTTCACAAAACACGTAAGACACGGAAGTACCTGTTCCTGTAGGTCGTAGTCATAGCTGTCGTGCAGCAGGAGGCTGAGGACATACCGGGTATAAATCATGGCGTCGATGCCACATTTCTCCAGCTCCTGTCCCAGCCAGGTCTGCACTGGGCCCAGAGCATGGAGCAGAGACATCTCAGACACAGGTACGGGGCCTGGAGAAGAGGCTGAGGAGCTCTCAGATGGTAAACCGTCCACGACAACTGTGCACACAGGGCGCATGAATTTAGGTTGCTGACATCCTTAAAATGCGAGGCATTTTCTGCAGGTGACGTTCTGTTGGTATCTGGAGGGGATTTTCACTCCAGTAAAAAGGAGAGACGCCGGACATCTAGGATAAGCATCTATTTTCGCGGGCTGTCAGCCATCTAGACCAGAATTTCCCTCTTCAGACATGACCAATGAATCAGCATCCTGGGAGCAACACACACACAGATGTGGTTTACTTTACTTTCACATTGAGGCCAGATGGAAGTCTCCGGCAGAACCTACGAAACGAGAGAGAAAAGAAAGGCACGCGTTATATACAGATATAAACTAAGTTACTGACCTTTTGGAGCAAAAAATCCAAAAAGACTGTCTATTGAAATTTGCTGTCTTAGAACACTGATTTCTTTTTTGCGGTAATCTTTGACATCTGAAGCCAAGTGACATTTCAAACCCTTAAAAGCTTAATATCATTCAAAAGAAAGGAAAACTCAGAACTTTATACTGTTGTGCTTACACTCAATCCCAACGACACGTATCTTGCTATCCGAAGAGACCGGGCTAGTAAAGCTTTGCTCATCTGTAACGCTGGAAGGCTGTGTGCGGTAACAAATCGCTAGTCCATTTTTAAGTGTACAGAAACAAGCAACTGAATTGTCATTTCGTTCAGACGCTGGTTAAAAATGAGTCCTTTTCATTGAAGGTTTCACAAAGACAATCAATCGCTTCGTATGGCTAAAAGCTTTGCACAGCTGCTCACCACTTACTTATTTCGTAGAAGTTAAGGTAAACCGTGGACCTGGCTCAGAGCCGCGCCAGCTTGTACCGTTATATTTGGTGCAGCTTCCACACCTTGGCTGATGGTTTGCTTACTTGTGCGACAGATGCCATGCTCTTAACAGTCTTTTCCCCTAAGTTAACCTACTTTGCATATGTCAAACTAATCGAACAGTGGCCTTATCAAATCATAACATTCCTATGTTAGAGCTCTGATGAACTTACTTCACCAGAAAATAAAAACCAACACAACGGCAGGTAAATCTCCTTGGCTCAGCGTTTGCATGAATTTTAGCAGACAATAAGAGGGTTACCAAAAGTGACTTTTAAAAAAGTATTTCTGAGGTTAGTAAAAGCATCAAGTCAAAAAGACTTCCCCAAAGATTTAAGTCTCCGTTTCTTGCATTTCATGAAAAACTACACAGCGAGTTTTACAATCATTAAATATAAAGAGGGGCGTCTGAGTGGCTCAGTCGGTTAAGCGTCCAACTTCAGCTCAGGTCATGATCTCACAGTTCATGGGTTCGAGCCCAGTGTCAGGCTCTGTGCTGACAGTTCAGAGGCTGGAGCCTGCTTCGGATTCCGTGTCTCCCACTCTCTCTGCCACTCCCTGCCTTCTCTCTTTCAAAAATAAATAAAACATTTTTAAAAATGTAAAATATAAAGGAAAGTGTTTAAATCTACCACAGGACTAAGTTATTAACTTGTCATTAACGTATATTCTGCTTTCTAAAATTTTCTTTACAAAACTGTCTTTTCTGATTTATGGAAACTAGATAACCTAAAGCAAACTTTTTCTATAATTTTTACCTGCTGAAATTTTCCAGCTGACTCTCAAAACATTTTTCATAAGTTCTTTGATATGTTTGGCACTCAGGATGCCAGACAGGTCATCAATTAAGCAAGACAGGGAATTCTGGGGACATCACTTGAAGCAAGGTGACAAGCCGGTACTCATTCAATGAAGATCAACCAAGACAGAGGGAGGACTTTTAACAAAAGCGGAAGGAAGCAGATGAAAGAATGGAAGGCAGCTTGGGCTCACAGGACACGGCACCAGAGACTGCTAGAGGGTGACCCTCGAGAGTCCAGCACCCGGGCGTGCATGGGAGGAGCTGCCCAAGCACAGGAAGGGATCATCACAAACAGGACCTGACGCTCAGCATGGTGAGGGACGGTGCCTGCTTCCCACCAGCCAGACTGGAAAACCTCCTAATTCAGGGACTCTGGCCACTCAGAAAGCTCCTGACTTAGAGAGGGGGAAGGAACTGACTCTAGACAGAATGGCGCCTGCCTAACACATCCTAAAAGCAAGACCTGAAAGGACCATACCATTGCCCACTAATTTCACTTCAGCCCCAGAACAAATCTCGAGAAATTTATAGGAACACAAAAATATGCAGCACCTAAGAAAGTAAAATTTACGGGCGCCTGGGTGGCTCAGTCGGTTAAGCGTCTGTCTGCCTTCGGCTCAGGTCACGATCCCAGGCTTCATGGGTTCAAGCCCCGTATCGGGCTCCACGCTAACAGCACAGAGTCTGCTTCCAATACTCTGTTTCCCTCCCTCCCTCTCTCTCTCTGCCCCTCCCCTGCTCTCTCTCTCTCAAAAATAATATAAACATTTTTAAAAACTAAAAAAAAAAAAAAAAAAAAAAAAAAAGTAACATTTACCATGGCTGGCATCTAATAAAATATCAGCAGACATGCAAAGAAACAGACACAGAGGAAGTAGAAATGAAGAGATAAATTAATTGAAACCAACTCAGAATTGACACAAAAGTTAGAATTAGCAGAAAAGGACCTTGAAGCAGTTATGACAAAACGCCATATGGCGATGAGTAGAGAACAGAAGATATCAAGTCAAACATCTACAGATGAAAATGACAGTATCTGAGGTGAAAAGTACACAGGATGGGGTTAATAACAGATTAGCCATTTCAGAAGGAAAAATAACAGAGGGTTTTTTTTTAATGTTTATTTATTTATTGGGGGGGGGGAGCAGAGGGAAAGAGAGAGAGAATCCCAAGCGGCCTCTGCACTATCAGTGGGGCTCGATCCCATGAACCATGAGACCTGAGCCAAAAATCAAGAGTCGGATGCTCAACCAGCTGAACCACCCAGGCGCCCCAATTACAGAGTCTTCAACTACAAAAGAAACCATACGAAATGAAACAGAGAGAAAGGAACAAATTAACACAGCCTCAGCGAGCTACCTGACAATTTTAAGAAATCTAACATACGTGTAATTGGAGAAGAAACAGAAGGCAACAAAGATATCCGAAGAAATAATGGCCAACGTTCTTCCAAAACGGATGACAGCTAAACACAGAGATCCAAGTTCAATGAACTCTCAGCACAAGAAACATGAAGAAAATGACACCGAGGCACGTGGCAACAAACCCCTTCAAACAAGTGACAGCGGAAGAATGCTTCACACCAGACAGAGAAGAGACATTAGGTGTAACAGAGCAAAGAGAATGAGGACACCAGGTTTCTTGTTGGAAACAGGCAAATGAGAAGACGAGGGGGCAAAAAAGACTTGAAAAGACTGAAAGGAAAAGCCAGCAACTTAGAATTCTGTACTCCTCAAAAAATCTTGCAAAACAAAGGGGAAACAAAGACTTTTCCAGACATGCCAAAGCAGCAGAGACATCAGAAATGATAAAGACAGTCCTTGGGGCAGAAGGAAAAGGACACTAAAACAAAACGTGGATCCACTCAAAGGAACAAAGGGCACCAGAAACATTCTTATTACTTAAGTATCTTTAAAAGATAATTCAGTGATTGAAACAAAAATAGTAACTATCTGTTGCAAGGTTTACAACATATGTATAAGCAAAACCCAGGACCACACAGCAGGAAGAGGAGCGGAGAAAACGTAATACGATTACCCGCGCTCCTGTCACCGTACGTGAAATGGTAGAATGCCACTTGGGAGAGACTGGGATAAGATGGGAGCTCATAATAATCAATGTAAACAGTCTAACCAACCAATTAAAAGGTAGAGGTGGCTGTGTGGGTGGCTCAGTCAGCTGAGTGTCTGACTCTTGATTTCGGCTCAGGTCAGGATCTCACGGTTCCTAAGGTGGAGCCCCCGTGATGGGCTCTGTGCTAACAGCGCACAGCTTGCTTGGGATTCTCTCTCCCTCTCTCCCTGAATCTCCCCTGCGATCACATGTGCTCTCTCTCAAAATAAATAAACATTTAATAATAATAATAATAATAATAATAATAATAGGCAGAGATGGTCAATTGGACTCTAAAACTGAAGACCCAAATATATGCTGCTTACACAAATATCCACATTAAAAATAAAGACACAAATAGGTTAAAAGGACGGAAAAAGATACATCATGCCAACGCTAGCATAAAGCAAGGTTGAGTGTCTACAATAATGGGATAGATTTCAGAGCAAAGAGTATTAACAGAGAAAAAGGTCATTTCATAATGATAAAGGGGTCAATTTATCAAAAGGATATACCAGTCCTATTTATTATATATCTAGTAGTAGAGTTTCAAAATGCGTGAATAGGAGCATGTGGGTGGCTTGGTCGGCTGGGTGGCCAACTTCGGCTCAGGTCATGATCTCACAGTCTGTGGGTTCAAGCCCCACGTCGGGCTCTGCGCTGACAGCTTAGAGCCTGGAGCCTGCTTCACATTCTGTGTCTCCCTCTTTCTCTGCCCCTCTCCCACTTGCACTCTGTCTCTGTCTCTCAAAAAGTGAACAAACATTACAAAAAAATTTCAAAATGTGTGAATAAAAACTAACAGAATTTCAAGGAAAAATAAACAAATCCACAATTATACTAGATTTCAAAACCTTTCTCTCAATCATTGAAAGAAGTAAATAGAAAATCAGTAAGGATATAAAAGACTCGGCAGTATTATCAACGAATTCGATATAAGACTATATTCTGGGCCATAGAGAAGGTTGCAACAAACTTTAAAAGGACTAAAAAATCACAGAAAATGTATTCTCTGACCACATGGAACCAAATTACAAATAACAGAAACGTATTACATAACTCTACATAACAGAGCAAAGAAAAAATTAAAGGAGAAACTAGAAAGTATTCTGAACCAAAGGAAAATGAAAATGCAAGACATGCTATTTCTAGGAAGCCACTAGAGCCGTTTAGGGGAAAACTAGTAACACCAAGACATGTAGTAGGAAAGCCCTCAAATCAAGGACCCCAGTTTCCACCTTGAAAAAATAGAAAAGAACGGGGCGCCTGGGTGGCTCAGTCGATTTAGTGTCCAGCTTCACCTCAGGTCATGATCTCACAGTTCGTGAGTTCAAGCCCCGTGTCGGGCTCTGCGCTGACAGCTCGAAACCTGGAACCTACTTCAGATTCTCTGAAGCAGAGCCTTCTCTCTGCCACTCCCCGCCCCTTGCGAGTATGTGTGGGCGTGTGCGCACACGCGTGCTCTCTCTCTCTCTCTCTCTCTCAAAAATAAATAAAAACATTAAAAAAAAAACTAGAAAAGGAAAGCAAATGAAACC